CTGTGAGGACGAGCCCCTCTGCAGCAGCTGCCGCTGCAGCTTCTCTGTCTTTCCATGAGCCACTTCCCGGGTAGGACCTGGCCATAGCGTCTCTCACTTACTCACAGAGTCAGCAAATGTGCCAAGGCCTCCTCGGGGGCCAGCCCCAAGTCCACCCACAAGACAGAGGACAAGACAGGATTTAGAATTTGATGGGGGATACGGACCAGCAAACCAACACTCACGACCTCACGACGTAAGGACGACACGTACTAATGACCCCAGGCACACGCCCATGTTTAAAGAGCTCCCAGACAATCTCAAGTGAAGACAGGTGTGAGACCCCTGACCCTAGGGAAGCGTACTCCCGCTCTGGCTCCCCAGCAAACGTCATCCCTGCGAATGCAGAACGGGGCTGTGACCCACACAGAAGACGTCACCCCTCTTCTGACACTCATCTCCACGTTAAGTCCCCACACTTGGGATGGCTTTATCGAGACATGCTTCTAGAACCTGAATATATCTTCCGCCCTTGCACCCAGCACTATGGTCGTGGCCACGCCTCTGCTAGTTCTCCAATCCCCACCCCCCACCCCCCACGGCGCTGAGGGGCAGATGCGCTGACATCACCACTCTGGCCGGGCTGTGGGTCAGCGTGCCCCACCAGGTCCATCTTGACTCACCACAGAGCAGATCCTTGTGAGATCCCATTTTGAATTAAACAGTGACTTCACGCCACCCAAAGAGGGTGAGGTCTTTCCATGTAAATTCAACTGAGGTTTCCAAAGGAAGCCCGATGGAGTGCTCAAGCTGGATCTTGGCTGACACCCTGAGCTTACACACCCCCTCACCCCTCACCAGCCTGAGCTCACTGCCACCTACGCTGCTTAATGTCAGCACCAGGCTTCCTCCTCCTGCACAGAAAACTGCACAGCATCACTTAGGACTCCTTCCTCAGCCTCCCCCTGCCTTTCCAAACCAGCACAGTTCAGCAAACACAGGCAGCCCCTAGACGGCTTCCTTTCAGTCCTACAGTATATGTACTTAACATCCATCTCCACATGCCCTTTCTCTCGGCAGACCGGCTAATCTCCTCCTTCATAGAGAAGATCCCAGGGCATTAACCTGCCCACTTAACCACCTCTTCTCCCTCCCTCCCTCCCTCCCTCTTGCCTCCTTCCTTCCCTTTTCCTTCTCTTTATTCCTCTTTCTCCCTTTATTCTCAGCACAAGAAGCCAGATGTTTCCCCAGAATAAGGGTTCGATTTTGGACGACTGTGGCCCTTGCAGGCTCCTCTGAGCACTCAGTGCTGGCTCACAGTGGGCTGCAGGCAAGGCCTGGGGACTGGAGGTGAAATACCAGATGGTTCTGAGTCCAAGGCTGGGATTTGTGTGAGCAAGGGTTCTTTCCCATCAGCCACCTGTAACTCATAGGGTCTGTGTGGGGGTCTCCTGGTCTGGCTATTTATTATACAACCACCCAGCACACTCTAGTCTCAGGGATGGAACTGGAATTTTGCCACATCGAGGGACCTGCTATTTACTGTGGTGCTGACTGCAGTTTTATCAGAGTCAGTGCTGGGCCGTAAGTCCTTTACCTCCTTCAGCAAGAAGTCTTCCAGGATTAGTGTCATTAGCCCCACTTGACAGAGACTGGACACCGGAGAGGGCTCCCCAGGGACCGCCTGCCCCCAACACTCTTGCTTTGCAAACCGAGACCAGAAAGGCGAGGTGACTTGTTCTGAGTCCTGGGTGCCAGCAGACCTGGAAGCCCTCGAGTCAGTCCTTCTTCCATCATTTTGTATCGGTTCCAACCTCCCCACACAGGGAGGGAGGCAGGGGACGTGAAACTCCAAACTCTGGGGTATGGAGGAGGGACTCAGTACCGGATGGACCAAGTACTGGTAGGGCCCCGCGGTGGCTCTGCCAGCCCTACCATGACACGAGCATCAGATAGACCTGCAACCCTGAGCTGGGTCAGCAGAGCCCAGGCATAAACCACAATGCCTGACTGCCGGTCAGGAGTCCTTTCTTCATTTCTTGTACCCTCGCAACCCATCCCTTTTAGCCTTTCAAGGATGAATAAAGGATAAAATGAGAGACCCTGACACAGGATCACAGGTTCAAATGCCTACAGCAACCAGGCATGTGCTTTAAATGACCAGAGTTTGGGCTGGGCCCAAGACACCAGGGGGCGGTGGGGGCTGGGGCACGTGGACAAGTACAGCTTCGTCCACAGGGGACACACAGTCCCCCAAACCCAGGCAATCGCTGCCACACCCAACTAGAGCTGGGTTTTCTAAATCATCAAGAAAAGCCAGAGAGTTAGGTTTTCAAATAAGATATTCTGTTTTTAAGAATTTGTGAAGGAGTTTTAAAAGATTTAAATATGTCTACTAACTGATTCAACCCTCAAGCTACTGCTTAGACCCTCTGCTTCAGAATATAAAAATCCCTCTGCAGGGGTGTCACTGTGCCCCGAGCCGTGTGCCAGGCCCACGAGGCCTGCTCTGTCGTGGCCAAGAACAGCAGGAGGGGCCTCTGGCCAAAACGACAACCAACATCAACTGCTCGAAACGAGGCATGTCTGTGCAACCTGCCGCCCGCCTTCACGTCCGTGCTCTGCAGGGCTATTCGCAGCTGGGCTTCAAAGCGTGATGAGGACAGCAGGCAGAGGCCTGCACAGTGTCGCCGTTTCCATCCTGTCATTAATGAGAGTCGGTTTACACGAGCGCCAAGTGCTGATAAGGGTGTCTGAGGCCCATCACGGTAACTGCTCCATAGAGCAGACAATTTATTGGACAGCCCAGTCCAGCCCATTAGTCATGGACTATTAGAAGATGTTTCAGATGTTGTTTTCAAACTATCTTCTGAACCCCGTCAGACATGAACTTCACGCAGGTAATATCAGGGCAAGTGGGACCTGAGGGTCACCTGGAAGCCAGTGCAACCATTTCCATCAACACCTGCATGGGTTTTTTGAGGCTTGGTGCCTGGGGTCTGGAGACCTGTGGGTGCATTCAGGACAATGTCTAACCAGCTACGGAAGCGTGAGGAATTCCAGGGCACCTCCAGGCTTCAGCACGTTTCTCTGTAGACAGGCGCATCACACAGGGGACTGTGACAACGAGGCTGAGATGACCTGCATCTGGGTGTGCTTGGGACCCTCCTGGTCTCGTCACTGAAACGCCCATGTCTCGGGAATCCTCGTGGTCCCAGGCACACCCAGTGCTCAGCCACCTCACTTGCAGCTCTGACTTTTAAATGCCCACCAGACCAGGGAACATGAGGGCCCCTCTCATTGTCACAGTTCAGCAGCAAACACACCTCAGGAGCAGCCTGGTCCTAACAGGTTGATGATGCTGGGTGTGGGGCCGGTATTTTGTCTTTTAACTTGTCCTTCGGTGACATAGTCAACTGAACGCAGATTTCTGGGCTCAAATCCCAGCTCCACCACCATCTAGTTCTGTGGCCCTGGGCAAGGGCTGAGCCCCCCACCTGAGCCCCCTCTGTGATATGGGGGTGGCACCGCCTACCCTAGGGTTGGAGGGAGGGTCTGGGGAAGGGCTGCAGGAGCTAAGGGGCCTAGGAACTGTTGGGGAGCTGCAAGGACCCACGGCCAGGACAAACATGGGGGGCTCAGACCCCTCCTCAATACCCGCTCAGGCACTGCAGGCACCCACCCACCCCCACACCCACCCACACACACTGTATCAAGCTCAACTGGGCCCCAGTCCTGTCTGAGAGGTGGGTGCCATCACAGGGCCTTGCCCTCCTTGCTTCTGTCTGTCCCTCCACCCCCTCCCCAGCCAGAGGGAGCAGGTGGTAGGTGGTGGTGGGGAAGCAGCTTCTTGGTGAGCCCAGAACCCCAGCTACCAGCCTCCCCCCATGCAGGTCAGCCCCAGGCTCGGGCTCCACTGGCAGCGTCCCCAGACCCAGACGGGCAGGGCGGGCCGCAGGTGAGCCCGCGGGGTCATCCCCACGACTGAGTGGTTTCTTACGACACCCCTGCGGGCCCCTCCCTGTAACATCACAGCGAGCCTTTGTGCAGAAGGAAAAACAAAACCAAGGGCTTGATTCGGCCCTGGGTATGCACACAGGTTGAGATTTTCTAAATGACAGCACCTGTTAATTGTCTGGTTAGGTATGACCTATTAAACATTTACCGCCCATTTCCTGTACACGTCTGGTGAGGCCGGCAGGAAATTTAGAACAAATTAAACAGCAGCTGCGATCCCTCATGCTTTAATGATCCCTCCACGACTCTGTGCGGTATTGTAAAATATTAGGGGCAGGTCTATTAGGGACAGGAGGGTTTCATCAAGGAAGCCTCCACCTCCTCATCCTCCTGCCAGCCAGGCCCCATAAAGTTAAATTGGCCAGGGCGCATCTCCGCCCCACCCCCCGGCCCCCCCCCCCCAACCGCCGAACATTTCAGGGGAGGCTTTTTCATCTGCACGCCCCACTCGCCCGCCTCTCGGTCCCCCACCCCCTCCCAACCGTTCCCACACGGTTTCACATGTGGTCCAAGAGGGGCACTTCCTGCCGTTATAAAAAGCAAAACCAAGACCCCAGCAAAACAGGCTGTGCACAGAACACCCAAGTTGACAGTGTGAGAGAGAAGGCCTAATCCATTCCATATGACAAACAGCAGTGGCCCGCAGGGGAGGCCCAGCCCTGCGGAGAATTCACAACAGCCCCTCCTCCGCCCCTGCCTGCCTTCCCAACCCCAGTCCCCCACTCCCTCCTCAAGTGGACCCTTCAAAACAGGAGAAAAATATTCGTCGGAGCACGCCCCCAACTTTAAACTGATCGTGTTTGGGTTTAATAGCCTACTATGCATTGTTCTTTCTTCACTTTGAAAATAAACTTTAGGAAGCATTAATGCAAATACAATATAAACACGCTCATTCCTAAATTTTCGCATCTCCCCAGTGTGTTTGGGCTTGTGCCTTAAGATCAAGGCTTAGCCTGATGTAAGAACCAGATGGATCTTTAAAGTGGAAGCTTTGCAACTCTCACCGTGTAAATAGACAGCTGTCCGGAGGATGTAAGGGGTGAAAGTGTCCCCAAGAATACGGGCATTAGTAACCACTTCCATTGTCCTTCTGGGAACAGCGAAACGGAAAGCGTCTGTCCAAGTCCTCTCTGGTTGTTCTGCTGAAAAAGGACACACACCGCCTCAGTTGTGGGAGAAGGTGTCGTTACAGAGGTTTGGTTTTTAAGCCTTAATTAAAAGAACAGGTTTCTGTGGCAGCCATGCTTTTCTCAATGCCTTCACATTTCTATAGACAACCTTTGATGCTGGGCGGTGGACAAACTCGCTCAGTCCCACCACCAGCAGCTCACCCAGTGTACCAAGTCTTAACCTGCTTATCAGCAGCCAAATAGAACATTTCTACTTCCTGTTTCCTACTTCCTGCTTCCTGCCCCTCAGTTCCATAAATGATTCTCCTTCAGAGGCGGTAAAAATGGAAAGGATGAGATGAAAGGGTCCGTCAAAAGATTTACGCCGGCCCATAAAAGTCTCCTCAGTGTTCCGTAGACTAAACTGTCAGTCCTGCTTTCACGGAAACTTTTATTGAGTAGTCAATCTGAATTTTGTCTATAATTCCATTAAAACTTACAAGGTCGTCTGTGGTTTGGTTGTTCTGGATGACTTGACAAATTAGTCTAGTAAATTTTGGGTGTCTTAAGTACTAAATTAGGTCATTTGTTTAATGAGCCAATCCACTGCCCAGAGTTTGACCCCGGCCCACGAGGGGGAGTTCACGTGGAGTTCCAAGGCGGGAGCGCAGGTCCCTCATTTGTCTTCTGCTTCTAGAGAAAGTGCTCCCAAGTCAGGGCTGGACAAGGAATTCCAACGATTAGTGAAGAAAACTCCTTTGCTCTGGCCCTTCTCCCTCCCACCCTCCTCCCCCAGGATTGCTGTCACTGCTGCCGTCACCACCTGCATCATCTCACCTGGCCCTCCCAATGACCCCACAATGGAGAGCTGGTGCCATCACTGTCTCCTTTTTCAAATGAGAAAGGAAATCTTGGAAATGCTAATTTCCCCAAGGGCACATTCAATCTCTCACCCTCAATCATCCCTTGAGTCTTTCAATAAGCATTAAGCATCCACAAGGTGGGGCTTCTCCAGTGGCTCAGCAATGAAGAACCCACCTGCAATCCAGGAGTTGCAGGAGATGCAGTTTCGACCCCTGGGTTGGGAAGATCCCCTGGAGAAGGGCATGGCAACCACTCCAGTATTTTTGTGGAGAATCCCATGGACAGAGGAGCCTGGTAGGCTATAGTCCTTGGGGTCGCAAGGAGTTAGACATGACTGAAGTGACTTAGCACACACACACACACACACACATCTACCAGGTGACAGGCCTGGGGTTCCAGAACTGATTAAGTGATGGTCATGGCTTTCAAGAGTTTCATCATTTGGTTGAATAGTCATGCATATCAATAAATGTAATATAATTCTAGAACTTATGGTTACCAGAGGAGAAGGATGGCGGGTATGGGTAGTTTGGGAGTTTGGTGCTGACATGTACACACTGTTATATTTAAAATGGATAACCAACAAGGACCTGCTGTATAGCATGGGAAACTCTGCTCAATGTTAAACGGCAGCCTGGGTAGGAGGGGAGTTCGGGGGAGAATGGATGCATGTACACGTATGGCTGAGTCCCTTTGCTGTGTCCACCTGAAACTATGATAACATTGTCAATCAGCTACATTCCAATATAAAATAAAAAGTTTAAAAAATCAAATAAATAAATGCAATATAATTCTATAGTTTCTATAATTCTATAGTTTCCATAATTCAGGTGGACCGAAGGTGCACATGGGGCACAAACGGATAAGCCACTGCCTTTGTCTCTAAGACATTTCCTGAATTATGCACGTGGATTCCAGCCTCTTCAGTGACATCCACCCACCAGCATGGCATCCACTCATGAGTTCACGTGTGTGAACTTGTCACCTTCCGGCCACCAGGAGCTCCCTTAGCTGGTTCTGTGTGTGTACAGTATGAAGATACTAGTGTCCACAGTCATGATTCAGAACATCCAAGCCCCAACTGCTGCATCAGCTGGCCACCGTGCCTTTCTGGGTAGGAGGACTGCATCACTGAGACATTTTAATACAACCAAGAGCTCCTTCAGGGCACAATTGGGACATTTTCATTCATGACCAACAATGCTAAACACAGAACACAGGATGTAGCAGGTTCTCACTAAATGTGGATTTGAAAACCTTTGATTTAATGTTGAGTTCTCTCAACATTAGTTATCAATGTGAGTTCTATGCAGTAACTCTGACAACCAAACCATTTGATTTAGTGGAGTCATTTTTTCTTGTAGTCCAAACAGGATGACATGAGCTTGCTGTAGAGTTCTCCAATGATGACCATCTTCCCTCAAGAATCAACCTTAGGTTTAGACACACATAGAACTTTCATTTAGCAAGACAATGGAGGCCACCTTCTGTTTTTATTTTATCCAGTGTTCTCCCACACTTGACAGCTTTCCATTTCTTGTCTGCCTTGCTCTGAGCAGTTAAGGACTGGTCATCCTGGGTCTGCCGAGTAATCAACCACCACCCACACTTCTCTGTGGCAATATTTTATTATTTTGCAAAGGGCTCTTGAGATAGCTAACTGGGAAGAGGGGCTTGGGGGGGGGGCAGTGGCATGCTCAGGACCCTTACGAAGGGTTGTCACATGTGTGTGACAACTGCAGTGTGACTGTCAAAGTGACAGCACCCAGTGGCTGCCTTCACTAACCCTCATCCCAGGACAGGTGGGAGTTCCCTCTTCCACCCTCTGCCTAAATATACACGGACAGGGTCAGAGGCCAAACTGGAGGTTTAGGTGTTTAGGAGAAACAAGAACCAATGAATAATTGCCTCTCATCCTTAGATCATGGGTGGTAACAATGCCAATGAAATTGTTGGTTTAAATTTTTTGCATTTGGTGCAAGTATATAAAAGTTCAAATCAGACACACAGATAAAGAGATATTCACGTGTGTATGCATACACATGGGCATGTACCTTGAAAATAACACATATAGGAGAGACAATCCTCAACCAGGGTCTGAAAGAGACTCTGAAGTTGTCTAACTCTGGCTTTGATGTCACCATTCTGCCCCAGCTCCGTCTCTACAGAGGCATTTCTTCTTTGCACTCCCTGGAGAGAACTGTCGCCCAAACCAGGCTGTAAGTGGGCTGAGCACAAGGCCTGTGCTTTTTCCTGAATTTTAACTCAGGTGTTAAAAGTATACAGTGAAGTGTGCAACAGCTGAATGAATTTTTAAGTAGGTAAACCCTCATGTAGCTACCATCCAGATCAAGATACAGAGTATTTTCACAGCAGAAGTCTTTCCCGTGCTGCGTCCCCACCAACATCTCCAAAGGCGCCCCATTCACCATGGAGACCATCAGCGCTGCCTGATCTGCAGGCTCAGGGGAGCAGGGCCCCACAGGGTGTACTCTTGTGAACTTCCTTCCCTGGATACTGGCTTGTGAGATCGCTCACGTGTGTGCAGACTTCTGTTCTTTCCTACTGCTGTGGAATCACTTCTGTGGATGTGCTTTAGTTTATTAATCCATTCTGCAACTGAGGCACTTTTGGTTTTTTCTCACTCGTGGTTCTTCTGAATAAAGCTGCTGTGAGCATTCTTGTCCTGCATGTGTCTTTGGTGTGTGCACAGATTCATTTCTCCTGGGAGTATGCGTTAGGTCATAGAATAGGCGGATGCTTAGTCTTAAAGGTACTGCCGCCTGGTTTTCCAAGGTATCTGAAGACAGTGCATCCACAGCTGGTTTTAACCCTTTAGTCTCCTGGGATTAAAGCCACATCTTCCTTCTTTTCAAAAGCTCCTTGATGCCTATTTGTAAACACTTGATGAACATCCCAGGTGACCTCCATATGAGCCCCTCTCTCTCTGCCAGCTGCCCCCTGAAATGAGCAGAACACAATGCTCTGGGAATGTGGCTCCTTCCACAGCGGGGTGATGTTTCAGATGCTTTGCTTCCCCCCAAACTCTGCCTCTGTAGAGGGCAGCAGCCCCCATGTCCTCTGCCCTCCAAGGTTGTCTTGGGATAAGACACGGTGATGTCTGTACGGCAAGCAGAATAGTAAGTGCCCCATGCAAGCCAGTGATGATGTCGGCGTTGGCATGAAGACACCAGTAAAGCAGGTATTGCCAGCTTGATCGCTTTCTGGTGTGGCAAGTGCTCCATAATGCTTACTGCCCACCCCCTGAATTCTGGGCTCCACGTCGCTGCCCGGAGTCTCCTATTCTCATCCAGCTCCGTGGATGCCGAGCGTTAGTGAGAACACTGCTCCTGTCCACCGCTGGGAGGGGCCGTCGTGGGCCCCATCACTCCTCTCCAAGGGCTTCGGTGGTCCCTGCAAAGCCCAGGAGGAGCCCCGGGACAGACCAGGCCCAGAGCCCCCCACCCCCACCCTGATGCTGCCAGCTCAAATCTCAAGCCTGATTCTGAGGGCCGAGTTGAGTGCACAGAGGAGGATGTTTTCCTTGCAGGCCTCTGCTCTGCTTCTCAGTTTCGGCAGGGGAAGGCCCCTCGCCATCACCTCTTCCCACCCCCTGAACAAAAGCACCGTTCTCCACGCTGCACTCTGCCCCTGCGCAGGGGGGGCCTGGCTTCCTTTGCCACGAAGCCTGTCAGGTTTCCATTAGGCCAGGGAAACACCACAGGAAATGAGTCAAAGAAAGGAAGGCTGTGATTTTTTTTTTTTTAATTTCAAATACCAGATTTGTTATTTTTTTTTTTTTTAAATGACGGTGTCCCGGCCGTGCCAGGTCGAGGAGGAATGTGGAAAATGTGCAGCTCGAAGTGTCTGAAGGGCAGCTGGATCCTTCAATTGTTTCTAATAAAAACCCATGGGAAGCTCTCCGAGGCCCCTGGGAAGACAGTGCACCCGCCGGAGGCCTTGGGCGCTGGGGGCCCAGGCAAGGTTTGGGCTTCTCCAACCTCCGTCTCCTGGCTGGGCCACGAGGTGCCATGTGATGGACCAGTCACCCTCCCTGCATCTGAAGGGCTGTTGTGACTACTCAAATGCACTGAATTTTGTGAGCCCGTTTCCTCTTTTTGCAGAGAGTGCAGAATATACAGGTCGTCCAGACCCTTCCACGCACAGCTGCCATCAGAACCGCCTGCGAGCAGAGGCCGTGTGAGTGGGGCTGGGCCACGGGTGCCACGTCCCATGCTGGCCCTGCCTTCCTGCGCTGTGGTGCCCCGGGTGGGTAACAGGACTTTCCCGGCTCTGTCTCTTTCTCAGCACAGCACGCATTGCTTGCTACACCTTCTATGTGCCAGCCAGTGTCACTGCCACCCACGAGGTGACTTAGCGCCTGTCTGCAGAGGCAGGCGCTCTTACCAGCCCCACATTACAGATGAGCAAACTGAGGCAGAGAACTTAGACAACATGCCCTAGATATCACAGCCATGATGTGACTATATCCATCTACCACACCAGAGAAACAGGACCAGAGGGAGATAGATAAGAAGACACAGCTCAAGAACTGGCGCAGCAATGGGTTGGGCTGGCTGGACAAGTCCAGAAGCCCAGGGATGACCCCTAGGAAAGGCAGCTGGGAGCTGGAATCATACAGGATGTATCCTTTTCAGATGGGCTCCTGTCTTTTAGCAGTGTGCTAAGTGCTGTTCCATGCCTCAGCCCTGACAGCCCCTCCATGTCATTTTAGGCCTGGACAGCTCATTTCTGTTCAGTGCCAAGTAATATTCCATCGTCTGGATATGCCACTGTATTACCCACTCGCCTACATGAGGGCATCTTGGCTGCTTCCAAGTTTTTTGGCAATTATGAAGAAAGCTGCTGCCAATATCTATGCACAGGTTTTTGTGTGAACACAAGTT